ACACACACACACACACACACACACACACACACACACACACACCGCTTTCCCCATGGGTGTCCATACGTTTGTTCTCTACATCTGTGTCTCAGTTTCTGTCCTGCAGACCAGTTCATCTGTACCATTTTTCTAGGTTCCACATATATGTGTTAATATACGATATTTGTTTTTCTCTTTCTGACTTACTTCACTCTGTATGACAGTCTCTGGATCCATCCACGTCTCTACAAATGACCCAATTTCGTTCCTTTTTATGGCTGAGTAATATTCTGTTGTATATATGTACCACATCTTCTTTATCCATTCGTCTGTTGATGGGCATTTAGGTTGCTTCCATGACCTGGCTATTGTAAATAGTGCTGCAGTGAACATTGGTGTGCATGTGTCTTTTTGAATTATGTTTTTCTCTGGGTATACGCCCAGTAGTGGGATTGCTGGGTCATATGATAATTCTATTTTTAGTTTTTTAAGTAACCTCCATACTGTTTTCCATAGTGGCTGTATCAATTTACATTCCCTCCAACAGTGCAAGAGGGTTCCCTTTTCTCCACACCCTCTCCAGCATTTGTTGTTTGTAGATTTTCTGATGATGCCCATTCTAACTGGTGTGAGGTGATACCTCATTGTAGTTTTGATTTGCATTTCTCTAATAATTAGTGATGTTGAGCAGCTTTTCATTGCTTCTCGGCCATCTGTATGTCTTCTTTGGAGAAATGTCTATTTAGGTCTTCTGCCCATTTTTTGATTGGGTTGTTTTTGTGATATTGAGCTGCTTGAGCTGTTTATATATTTTGGAGATTAATCCTTTGTCTGTTGATTCATTTGCAAATTTTTTCTCCCATTCTGAGGGTTGTCTTTTCTTCTTGTTTGCAGTTTCCTTTGCTTTGCAGAAGTTTTTAAGTTTCTTTAGGTCCCATTTGTTTTTGTTTTTATTTCCATTACTCTAGGAGGTGGATCAAAAAAGATCTTGCTGTGATTTATGTCAAAGAGTGTTCTGTCTATGTTTTCCTCTAAGAGTTTTATAGTGTCCAGTGTGACATTTAGGTCTCTAATCCATTTTGAGTTTATTTTTGTGTATGGTGTTAGGGAGTGTTCTAATTTCATTCTTTTACATGTAGCTGTCCAGTTTTCCCAGCACCACTTATTGAAGAGACTGTCTTTTCTCCATTGTATATCTTTGCCTCCTTTGTCATAGATTAGTTGACCATAAGTGCATGGGTTTATCTCTGACGCTTTCTGTCCTGTTCCATTGATCTATGTTTCTGTTTTTGTGCCAGTACCATATTGTCTTGATTACTGTAGCTTTGTAGTATAGTCTGAAGTCAGGGAGTCTGATTCCTCCAGCTCCGTTTTTTTCCCTCAAGACTGCTTTGGCTATTTGGGGTCTTTTGTGTCTGCATACAAATTTTAAGATTTTTTGTTCTCGTTCTGTAAAAAATGCCACTGGTAATTGAGGGATTGCATTGAATCTGTAGATTGCTTTGGGTAGTATAGTCATTTTCACAATATTGATTCTTGCAATCTAAGAACATGATGTATCTCTCCATCAGTTTGTATCATCTTTAATTTCTTTCATCAGTATCTTACAGTTTTTCTGCATACAGGTCTTTTACCTCCTTATGTAGGTTTAGTCCTAGGTATTTTATTCTTTTTGTTGCAATGGTAAATGGGAGTGTTTCCTTAATTTCTCTTTCAGATTTTTCGTCATTAGTGTATAGGAACGCAAGAGACTTCTGTGCATTAATTTTGTATCCTGCAACTTTACCAGATTCGTCACCGGAATTTTGGCTAGAGTAATTATAATAATTTATTATACAAATTAGGACACTTTTAAGAGTAAAAGGAGCTGCCCTTAATAATTTTTCCAGAACAACAAAGATAAATCAGAACCATCCTGAGGATAATTGGAGCATAGGGTCGCGCTGATTTCAAATCTCCTTTCATTTTCCCCCTTTGATGACTCCTTTTAAGATGTATGGGACACTATATTCATTTGCTCTTTCACTCAGCAATGCTCATGGAGTGTTTTCTATGTGCTAGGTTTTCTGCCTGTATTATGTTGTTTTCTCCTTGTAAGAACCCTCTGAGTTAACTATCATTATTATTCCCATTTTTGCAAATAAGAAAAAAATTGGAACTCTGTAAGTTATACGGCCAAGATCACAGTACCTGTAAGTCAGAGCTAAGATTATAATTTAGGCTGTCCCTGCTCTTGGGCCAGGTACACTCAAACTGAATTGACATCACTGACTGTGTTCTTGTGCCTCTTTTGTGGACCCAGCCCCGTCGGATACTGTCCCTCCAGCAAGCTCTCAGGCATATGGCAGAGTGGTTAAGAGTGAGGGCACAGAAGTTGCACTGCCTAACTTGCATCCTAGGTCCACCGCTTATCAGCCTTGTGCTTCACTCACTTTCCTTTCTATAAAATGGGTACAGTAACTTAGTATTGACCTCACAGCGTTGAGGAGAGGATTAAATGAATAAATACCTATGAGGTGACTTCTAGAACTCACCTAACGATGGTGGCTAGTTGCCAGTGGAGCCCACCATTTTATTAGAGGGTTGGAACTTTCAGTTCCATGCCCACCTCCAGGGAAGGGAGAGGGCCTGGAGGTTGAGTTCAGCCACCAGTGGCCAGTGACTTAATCAGTCGCACGTATATAACGAAGCCTCCACAAAACCCAGAGGGCAGGGTTCAGAGAGTTTCCAGGCCAGCGAACACGTGGATCCTGGGGAGAGTGGCACCCGCGGAGGGCATGGGAGCTCCGGGCCCTCTCCCCATACCTTGCCCTGTGCATCTCTTCCCTCTGGCTATTTATTCCTGAGTTATGTCCTTTTATAATAAACTAGTGATCTGGTATACAAAATGTTTCTCTGAGTTCTGTGAGCCACTCTAGCAAATTAATTGAACTCAAGAAGGGGGTCATCCGAACCTCGATCTATAGCTGGTCGGCCGGAAGTACAGGCGACACCCTGGACTTGGGATTGGCATCTGAAGTTGGCGGAGGCAGGAGGTGGGGCGGGCAGTTGTTGGGGGGACAGTCTTGTAGAACTGAGCCCTTAACCTGCAGGATCTGACGCTCTATCCAGGTGGATGGTGTCAGAATTGAGTTGAATTCTCGGACACCCTACTGGTGCTTTGGTAAAGGTGGAAAAGCTGCGTTTTTCCATTACAAGGTGGTACATAACAAGATGAAAATGACGGGGGAGGGCTGGGTTGTGGCATTGTGAGCCCGGTGAAGTTCTGGGTAAGGGGCTGCCCTTGCACCTGTGGCATCCTCTTCCCCTTGGGCAGTTTCTCTCCGACAGAAATGCATGAACACGTGAAATGTGAGGACATCTGCCAGAACCTTTCCCCAGGACACGGGGTCCTGAGTAGCTTTCGCAGTTGTTGTAGGGATGACCTTCTCTTTTTGGTGTATTTGTAAAAGGCATCGTGTGCACCGTCAGTGAGCAGGAAACGTTCCACTCCGGGCGGTGACGCAGGTACCTCGGTCCTTCCCTTTAGGACGTGAGGATCCACCTTCTGTTAGCGTAACTGGGTTGTCTTTGGTCTTTTCGTGTTTTGTTTTCCCCTGAGAAAGTGTGATTAGCAATTCAGGAAGGAGGCACCAAGTCTGGGTGTGGGGTCTGAAACAGAGAAGGTTGAACTAGAATGAATGTGGTCGCTTTGGGGCAGTTGGCTGCATTTCTTCATTGTATTATGAAGTTCACTTTGGGGAACTTCAGAAGACACTCTTTGAGAAACAGTCTGTTGGCTCCACAGAAGTGTGGCACCTTATCTGCCCTCCTGTCCTTAAAAGGTGATCTCTTCAGTTGATGTGCAGCTCAGGAGGAGACCCGGGTCACAGGTCGCGGTGAGAAACCGCAGTTCCAGCCACCTGGTAAACCTGCTGATGAACAGCTAGGCAGATGCTCTAGCCAGATCACCCTCGTATGTCCCAGGAACTTCTTTCTTTATAAATTTTTGGATTTTTTGCTTGTTACAATATGGATAAGATACTTTCTATATTTCTTAAAATTGAACACCTGAACTTTTAAAAGACAAGGAGTGTGATCTCAAATATCTCTAAATGATAAAAGAATAAATGGAATTTGTGCTCTAAGGTATCTCACAAGTCCGTCCATTCTGCAGGCTTTCAGGATTTGGTGCTAGTAACAAATGCTGAGACCTATTATCCTGAAAGCACATTTTCCCTCCTCTTTTTTTTTCATTTCTGGTTATTAGAGAATACATTTTGCCTCATTGTTATTAGAAACAAGTGACAAACATGTAGCTAATTCTTTCTCCCAGGTGCTTAACAAGTAACAAATTTCACAGGGGTTACATTTCTTACTATTAAAAAAAAAAAAACCTGCCTATACTAGATAAAGGTGCTTAGAAATGTTTATACCCATTAGCCTGTAATTCTACTTCTAGTAATCTGTTCTAAGAAAAAAACCTGAACACACTCACACACAAGCACACACACACATGCACACACAGAAAGCTAGGCAAGAAGATAGTTATTACTACATTTTTTTAAATTAAATTTATTTATTTATTTATGGCTGCATTGGGTCTTCGTTGCTGTACGCGGGCTTCCTCTAGTTGCGGAGAGCGGGGGCTCCTCTTCGTTGTGGTGCACGGGCTTCTCATTGCGGTGGCTTCTCTTGTTGCGGAGCACGGGCTCTAGGCGCCTGGGCTTCAGTAGTTGTGGCACACAGGCTTAGTTACTCCACAGCATGTGGGATCTTCCCAGACCAGGGCTCGAACCCCTGTCCCCTGCATTGGCAGGTGGATCCTTAACCACTGCGCAACCAGGGAAGTCCTACTACATTTTTTTAATAGCAAAAAATAGCCACAATTTAATTTTCCAACAATCTAGGATTCGTTGCTAAATTAGATGATTGAACATTTTGTAGTAATTAAAGACGCATTGAGTACACCTTGTAAGGGTTTTAAGGTACGTTGACCTGTGGCCAGTGAGTAATCTCCTGTTCTCTGACTTTCCTCCTAGTGTTTTGCTGTGCGCTCTCTGGGGTGGGTGGAAATGGCAGAGGAGGACCTCGCCCCTGGCAAGAGTAGTGTTGCCGTCAACAACTGCATCAGGCAGCTTTCTTACTGCAAAAATGACATCCGTGATACAGTCGGCATTTGGGGAGAGGTAAGTAACAGGTGAAAATAATTAATGGCAGACTTGCTTGCATTCCACTGCTCCTCACGAAACCCCAGAGCTCTGAGAGCCAAGAGATTTGGTACTGAGGGCTGATGAAGGTATTTATCGGGGTCACTTTCCCGTGAAGGCAGCTGGTGTAGACATGATGCACCTGTGATTTACCTATTAGCCCTGCCAGAGCCCGTTGAGGACTGGGGCCCTGGGAGAGGGCATTTCTCAGTGTCTAAATGACAGGATCTGCTTTGGTATCCTGAGTCCCCAAGGATCCATGGATGGACTTAAGGGCCCAGAAACCCCCTAACCTCCATGCATAGTTGGATGTGCCAGTCTACAAGAGCAGTTTTCTGGGAAGAAGACCCATGCCTCTCTCAGAGTACATTCTCAAAGGGGAACGTGACCCCCACGTATACACCCCAAAATGTTGTTGCCCTTTCTCTAAAAGTTGACGCATCATCCTTTTATAATACAGTCTTCTTTATTTGTGATCTGAAAATCCACCTCGTACATGAATCTTGGAATTGATACCTGTGTATTCTTTCTTACTGTGAAGAACAAAGCAATTCCAACTTGAAATGTTAGTTGAGATCATTTCAGAAAGGAAAGTAATGAGTAAAAAAACCAAATTTGTATAAAAATCACATGAAATTGGAAAAGCCATATTCCTACTAAGCTCTGAGACCTGTACAACAAGCACATTGGGAGCATCACGAGATAGCAGTCCGCGTGAATCCACTCTACTTGATCAGTCCCCAGTTAAGAGCATTGGCAGCGAAAGTTTGCTTTTTGATTGGTCTGTTAGGACCCCCTGTCACCTTTTGTCCTAGCAGCACTGTCATAGCAGGAGGTAGTTTCCCAAGGCTCCGCATGGTAGAGTCCATCTGCTTTAGAGTGGGGCTGAGCTGCATCCCAACCAGATTTTTAGATCCCAGGCATGGGGGGAGAGGAGGAAGAATTTTCTCCTGCCAAGAAAAGGACACTTTTTTGGTATTTGCCTCTATTATCCTTTCACTGCATTAGCTTTCCAATACCCAGGCCTATTTCTCCCACCAAATTATCCATCTGTCTTCTCTCTCCTTCATTCAAAATGCTGTTCTACCAAAGGCATAGATCTCATCTAGGATTTAGAAGGACGGCTGGCGTAATCTATACTGCTGTTTGAGAGACTAATGAATACCACCAGGTATTTAGAAGAGCTAAGTAAGATTCTAAAGGAGTCTCCAATTGGCACAACTCCAGCAGGAAAGAAAGCTTTGGATGGGCCAGCAATGCCTGAAAATCTGCTATGCCTTCCCACCCAGTTAGCCCCCGCTAGGCCATTCCTATTTTTCTCAGTTCTTTCCTCTTCTTCTGAAACGATAAATTCTTCAGGCAGTGTTTCTAGTTCATAGTATATAAAGTACAGCTCAGTGTTTAGGGTTATGAGCTGTGACTTTTTGCCATGCCTCAGCACGCACAGCACAACTCCTTAAAGGTTTGTTGAACAGCTGACTGAAAATAAAGTCATGACTTTCAGATGAGTGTCCCATCTTTAGATGACACCTGCATAAGCATTGGTCGTTTGGGTTACAAAAACCAATTAGCAAGACTTTATAGTGGTCAACCAGGAGTTGCTGAGTGTTCATGAGAAAAGGGAAAGGGCACATATGGGAAGACACGAGTGTGCCTAATGAACTCAACAGAAGCCGCGATGCATTTTCATTCAGGGATAGTGCACACTCAGCCAACCATTCTCACTTCAGATGACCAGCTGGCAGCTGTCACCGGTTCTGTCCAGTAATACAATGACTGTCGACAGAGGTCATTGACGAAGATGGCCTGTGTTGCCTTTGTGTGGACCAGTTGTGGTTTCTAAGCTGAATCAATCCAAAAGAAATGCACCACCCAGCTCAGTGCAGGTTAGGGGGATGATTTCAGCTCATCCTGGATCTCATCTGTAGACGCTTGGCTTAGACATTGACTAGCAGAGGCACTGAAACACCCATGTCTGCCACTTCGGCAGCAGAGCTTGTGTTTCCTCTGAGAACCTTTGATGGGGACCTAAAATATCGTTCTCAAAAACCAGACCAAGGAGCATCTGTCCTGCTTTGGATTTGAAGATCTGCCAGGAAGCCTCACTCTGCTGCCTTGCTAGACCGCCCTAGCGTCCACGCCACAGCATCTGGGCTGACCGTGACCTTCGGTGGACAGTTTAATAATTTCTTAAAATTATGCCTGAGGATTTTCAAGGGGAGTGAAGTTGGATGGCCTAATAGCATTCCTACCCTCAAAGAGCCAATATGTGGGGAGACAGGAGACCAAAACCCGAAAACGAGTGATGCAAGAAACCTCAGCCTCCCCCGTGTTGGTATCACAAGAGCACATGCGCAGCTCAAGGCCTCGCGGCTTCTGTGTTAGGCCGTGAGCAGGTTACTTAAATTAACCTATAAGCCTCGGTTTTCCCATCCACTAATCACAGATAATAAAACCAAGCTCTGAGGCAGGTTAGAGCACTCATGAGTCAAGGAACCTGAAGCCTGTCGCATAACATCTGAGATGTGATAAAGTCACTTCAGCATTAGCTATTGTAGCACCGAGAAGTGTCACAAAGCTGTGCCTGCTGTTTACCAGCCAGATCACACAGATAAGAAGTGGTGTAAAAGTTGAGAAGAGACAGACCTGTTGTGGACCTGGGAAGGGCGTCAAGGAGATGCCTGGTAGGGTCTGGCCAGAGGGGAGGGAATGGGGACAGAGGGGTTGTGAGAGCATGACAGACTTGGAGTCAGTAAGAGGCCAGATTCTCCAGGGATCCTGCCATTAGCCTTTTCTCTTAGAGTAAAGATTCAAAGTGTAAATAATTAAAGATAAGAGCCAGCTAGAAAGCAGGCCAGGGACACATTTCAGAGGATTTGGAGAAGGAGAGAGAAATTGGGCATGTGAGGGGAAGGTGAAAGATTTATGAATCTTTTAATCAGGAGGGGATGTTTCTCCCTTAGGAGAACAAATTACAAGGGTGAATTTTTGATCGTTGAACCGACACCCCCAGGTAGCCACAGACATCCCGAGGACGTGTGGTTTCGTGAGGAAGGTAACCTGTCTTCTCGTTGACTCCCAGGGGAAGGACATGTACCTGGTCCTGGAGAACGACACGCTGAGCCTGGTGGACCCCATGGACCACAGCGCGCTCCACACGCAGCCCATCGCCAGCATCCGCGTGTGGGGCGTGGGCCGCGACAACGGCCGGTGAGTGCCCCGGGCAAGCGCTGTCCTTTGTCACCTCACCCGGTGCCCCAGTTTTAGCTTAACCCTGAAGCGGGGCCTCACTGTTACTGCATGTTGCTGAATGTGAAACTTGACAGTAGACTCTCTATAGATATGTAAAAACTTAAAGCACATCTCTATCCCTGCCTCATCAACCCTCCGAGCCCCTTCCTTTCCTGGTTTCTGTACCTCAAACCTTTTGTCAACTCTGGATCCTGCCTCTGATTCCATGTATTTCTCCCCCAACCCCCCGCTCATCCTCATTCATCTAAGTTCCCTCCTCATCCAGGCTTTCTGAACTCCCACCTTTTTTTTTTTTTTTTTTGTCTTCTCTGCAGTCTGTTTTAAAGTTGAGTCTCAGCTATTTCAGATGCAATTGGTATTTTCTTTGTAGAGGGCTTGTTGGAAGGGAGAGGTTGTACAGCCTTTAATCACATGCTTTATTATTTTTTTTAAGTTTGTTTTTTTTTATTTTATTTTTTATATTTTTTATTTATTTTGTTTTATTTATTTTTTAAGTTTGTTTTATTTTGTTTGTTTTATTTATTTAAGTTTATTTTATTTTTGATTTAAAATGTGTTAATTTCTGCTGTACAGCAAAATTCACACTGTACAGTATAACTACAGGGATTCAGTTATGCATAGATATACATATTCTTTTCCATTATGGTTTATCAGAGGATACTGAATATAGTTCCCTGTGTTATACAGTAGGACCTTGTTGTTTATCCACATCGCAAGCTTTAGATCATTAACTCATGCTGATAAGGAACTTCTGGGGTTTGAAGATGGCTGAACTCTTTTAACGTTTGAAATGTCTGGTCATACCAAAGTTCCACTCGATGTGTATTTTTCTGAAATTCTACTGAATATTTGTCATTGCCAGCAAGTACTTCTTAATAGATGTGTTGTGAATTTTTTGCTCTCCAGTGACTGGAAACAAGGAAGTTCTGATTTTCAAGTACATATTCTAACTAATAAAGTGACAGTAATCACAGGCATCATACTTTGATACTTTATTAAGTAATTGGGCTACAGGAAATGCATCTAACTCTTGAATTAAATTAATCTTTGTCAACTCTCGAGGTATACCCGAGGATCTGCTAGCATTTAGGGACAAGCTATAGGATGATTATTTATTGCTCTGTTGAAAAGGGGCAAGAGCATTGCAGAAGCTGCTGAAAATCCCAGACGACAGAGAGACTGCTCCCTTGGGGTGGCTCCATTCCTGGGCATCCTGGCTTATTGGGTCATGGGATCCCCTAGGTGGCTCTGCCTTGGCTTCGCCATCCTTTGTCTCCCAAAGATGGGCAGTAGTGGATTTGATAGTTTTTTGATTCAGTTCCAAGTCCTAAGCCTGAAAGGAAAGTGGTTAAGCATTCATCAAAGAGCAAGCATTTTTGCTGGAATCACAGGTGAGAAATGCTCTGCAAAAGAGAGAGCTGCAATGTCCTCTGACAGCTGATTGGATAAACCTTTGTGGGAGCACAGCTGTGTCTTTGAGCTTTTGTAACAGTGATGTATGGTGACAGCTGGACCAGGTGCTTTGGGGGGAAATGAGTGGATAGATTATGCATCCACACCTGTCATTCAGTTGCTTAGCAGAGCTGAAGCACTGGAGTTGATGCATTGGCGTGAACTGATTAATTTTACAGAGGAAAATACCTGAGGATGTTCGTGCATCATTAAAAACATTTAGCCTTGATGGAAGAGTGTAAGATACTTAATCCTTCCCTACTTCCTGTCCTCCAAGTTTGTTTTCAAGACAGGAGCCAAGGTGAAGATCATGATATACGTCCACAACTGGATGGGGTTGTGTTTTTTTAAGGTTAGCTTGTGAGTGGATTTCATAGATGAGGTTTTCAGTTCACCCCAACTCTTTAAAGTAAGGCCAAATGCTGTTTGTTCAGGGAGAAAATATGATTTAAATTCCATTTGACGGCTTCCCTGGTGGCGCAATGGTTGAGAGTCCGCCTGCCGATGCAGGGGACACAGGTTCGTGCCCCGGTCCGGGAAGATCCCACATGCCATGGAGCGGCTGGGCCCGTGAGCCATGGCCTCTGAGCCTGCGTGTCCGGAGCCTGTGCTCCGCAACGGGAGAGGCCACAACAGTGAGAGGCCCGTGTACCGCTAAAAAAAATTTAAAAATTCCAGTTGAGAAAATTATTCAAGCCCTGAGCTTAGTTTTCACTCATCTGTGAAAAGAGGGTGATAATAAGGACGACAAAGCACGTGTATGTATGTGCCTCTGTGTGTATAGTAATTGGCCCACTGATGGGGGATGTGGAAAATGCTTAATGAATGTTAGCTCTTGATTCGTTAAAGCAACATCCACTAGCAGAGACAGCTAATTACATGGCTCCCTTTCAAAGACAGGGAGGATGAGGGAGGGGTCAGACCTCTGGGAGGTTTCGAGGACAGTTTATCATTGATAACAGAGGGCGAGAGGCTATTTCAGACACTGAGTTCAGTTGTCCTACAAAGCAGGAAGAGCCACTCGCCTTGCCACCCAGTGATATCAGTGTAAATCAGGTTACCTTGCCTTGATTATGTTTTTGAAATGTGGGCTGAGTTACTCATTTTTTTTTGTTTTTTTGGGGGTTTTTTTTTGCGGTACGGGCCTCTCACTGTTGTGGCCTCTCCCATTGCGGAGCACAGGCTCCGGACGCGCGGGCTCAGCGGCCATGGCTCACGGGCCCAGCCGCTCTGCGGCATGTGGGATCTTCCCGGACCGGGGCACAAACCTGTGTCCCCTGCATCGGCAGGCAGACTCTCGACCACTGCGTCACCATGGAAGCCCACTCATGCTTTTTAAACCATTTCTTATTCTTACTCAATGTTAGCAGATAAGTGTAATTTAGAAATACACTGAGGGTTCTGCATCAGCTGTCAGGACCTCAGAAAGCTCATGTAGTGGTTGGGGGCCCTTGAGCTAGATTGCTTTTAGAAACAGTAAATTAAAAAGTATGTTTGTCAGGGAAAGGTTGTATTTCTCCCACTGGACCCCTGAGTTTTCATTCTCTAAAAGAAGGCCTTTGTATTCCTGCTTTTTTTTTTTTAATACTTTCTTTTGCTCTTGATTCCTTTTTTTTTTCTTACAGCAATTTACAAGAGCAAATTCAATTTGTAATGCCGCAAAGGAAAGGAGTTTACACTTTGCATGAATAAAGCATAAAAGTGTTTCATTTTGCTTGAGAAAATGAGTCCATTTCACATTCTCTTTTGTAACCTCCCTTGCCGAGAAAATGGAACCTCTTAGGGAATTTCTTGATGTGGTTAAAATGAATATGAAAAGTATGTATACCAGAGGCTTGAAGGGCACAGTCTGTCTTGAAATTCAGAGTGCTTCATTGAGCCATGTAATTTCAGGATTTATAAAGTTGTTTTGGGCTTAGCATTTTCTTAAGGCTTTCAAGTGGATTTGATTTGCTCTGAAGAAATTCCTTATGGAGTAAGTTTACTTTGGGTGAGGAGATGATCCAGCTGTGACACACCCCACCGATCCCCCAGGTTGATTTGGAGAAGCCTCTTATTATGAATGGCTGAGAAGTCACCATCGCATCAGACGGTGGTTCTCTGTGGGGTGCTGGTGGTTGCAGGACTGGGCTGAAGTTTTTGTCTTGTTCTTGAGAGTCACGCCTGCCTTTATTATGGCATTTCTTGGAGCCCATGTGCATTACTGCCAGGCAAAGGGAGGGCTCCCTCCTCCTACTTGGGTTCCTTTTGATCACAGTGAGATAAATGTCAAGGCTCCCAGAGATGGAACTGGTGAAAGGGGTTTCATGAGCCTTGTATTTCCAATCAGAGGCAGCACCAGGGAGCACCCAGATTGACCTGCTCTGCTTCCACCCCTGTGGGAAGGAGGCCCTGCCTGGGTTTTCCTGCCAGTGACTAGGGCAGGTGACCACAGTGCCATCTCTCATCTTGTCTCTACGGACCTGCAGGCTGCCCTTCCAAGGATGGGGTGGGAGGGATTTCACAACAATTTCAGGGGCTGTGCTAATCCGGCCACAGCTCTCCTATTTATTCGTTCGGCCCTGGAAAGCAGCACTCTCCTTATTCTTTTTAAAAGAGATATCAATAGCAAGCAGACATAACTTCTGAACATAGGAGACTTTAAACTGGGACTTTCCTTGCCTCTTGTGACAGGTAAGGGAAGGGGCACACAGATCCTTCTGTACGTTGCCAATAGGCAATAGAATCTGCTAATCCTGTCTGTTTCCCATGAGAAAGGAAAGTGGGTGGATGGTATAGTCCAGGGTTTCAGACCCCATAAGTGGGATTTCCCAGGTCGGTGTACCATGGAGCACTAATCAGGTCAAATGTTCATAGACTTTCCTTGAAAGGAAAAAGAAAAAGGATCTAGGGTCAGTTGGGAAAGTGGGTTAAACCAAGTGCATCAGGCCCCTCTGCTCTGGACCCTCTAGGAGGTTCTCCTGTCCTGATGTGGACTGGAACCCTTTTCTTCATGGAAATGCAGTCTCATGGAACACACTTTGGGAAACAATGCTCTGGTCAATAAACTCATTAAATTAGTGGCAACACTAGATTGCTGTTTTTGTCTTTAGGAAAAATTGGAATTCCTTGTAATAAATAACCATTATAAGTGGAGACCCCACTGGGCCTGCTCTAATGAAGGTAAAATTCCTTTATAATTAAAAGCAGCCATCACAGCCATTGTGCACAAGCGCTTTTTAAAAAGCACTTTCTTATGCAGGTTAAATGTTGACCCTGTGATACTGTTTGTGCTTATAGTTTGTGTAGCAGAACTTCTCTTCTGAGAAGGTGTTTTATGTGTCTCTTCTGCTTTTGATGAACAATTATTAATAAAATCTTACTGTGTGATAGATTATTCATAAATTTCCAATTGTTTATCTTTGACTTAACTGTTTTATCTGGTTAAGATCTCAGGAACTTTTATCTAAATAACATAGTAAGTCTCAAGTGCACTGAATATTTTTTCGTTTTCTCTTCTCTTGGGA